TTTCCTTCCTCCTTCATTCTTCTTCTCTCATTTTCAGCCATTTACTGCGCATTGAAGAACGACGGATGATATCTGTCAGTACAGACAGATAAACGCGCAACGGTAAGATCGGTCTTACTCCCCCTATAAAATATGAATGAGTTAGTAAGTGCGTCTCGTAGGGAGATCCTGAGGAAAATTCCTCCGCTGTTTGCAATAAGCAACGTGTACTTATTTTCTCGGCGCTGTAGATGTAGCGGCATGAATAGAATCAAGAACTCGATATCTTGAACGGAGCGCTCAATATAATTTTGTATTTTTAAAAATATAGAGATTTTTCATTACAAAAACTGTTTCTTTTACTTGAGTTGTTTAAGAATGAAAGTTACGTCTTGTATCTCTAAATGTTCTTGGACCGTCAAGAAAGTAATGAATCATCCAATTTCCGGCTCACTTAGGCTCACTCAGATAATAAGACAGATCTAAGAATCATATATTAAGAAGAATCCTTTATTATCAGAACAAAAACACGTTTTTGTTGTTTGATGATCGTTAGGGAAACATTGGTCGATTAGTTACCGTCATTTCTTATCATTTGTCATTTTAACAAATGTACGTTGCCTGAGATACAAATCACATTTGTTCTCATTATTTGAGAACAAATATTTATTTAAGTTAGTTATGTTTATTTAAGTTAAGTTAATTACGTCTCCATTACAGAAGTGTCAAAGTAGCTTAAAAAAAGCTTAAAGTAGCAAATTGAAAGCAAGAAATCATTTGTTCTCACTTATTTGCTGTCCTATGTTAACAAATCATTTAATGCGGGTACTGATATTTTGTTAAATTAACAAAACTTCTTTCAGTGTGTAAGATAAATGTACTAATGACTAGACACTAATAAAATTGATACTTAACTTTAAACATACTTATTGTTTGGGTCTTTAAACACGAATATAACTTTCAATATAAAATACATATACATATATTCTACGTTAAAAGTTTGTAAAATCTGTATTTAAAAACAATTGGAATGTCCCGAGTTAATGTTATTAGAGTTAGTTCAGGCATTGATATACCTTTATCTTAGATAACATACTGAATAAATTAAAAATGAATAAAAAGTTTCATCTTAATATCTTTAATGATTTTCTAGTTATGAGAGAAATAAATAAACACATACAGGATAAACTGAGAACTTCCTTTTCTCAAAGTAGGTTAAACATAGTCGGAAATAATACATTTTTTACGGGAGACATATGCATAGAATTGTCGAGCATATAAGAAAAGAAGGTAGCTGGCAATTGGTATTATTATTTCAGCTGGATTAAACGCTCTTGACGCAATCCTATCGATAATATAACGAGAGAACGTGTGTATATCGTTCCCTATACCGAAGGCGATGAAGTTCTTAGAGCTCTGTTTGAGCTTGCGACTAACAGCTCGCAGCAGCGCCGGGGTGCAAATTCAATTCCTCCTTGATCGACGAGGACTTAGCCATACCACTGTCGCAAACACAATCAAAATTTCTGTTACGGAACAATTATGATGGTTAACGTCTACGCGGAAGGCGATTAATTGGAATCCAGCGCGAAAATGTGCTGCAAACAAGCTATGTAAGTGGATGCCGCGGACTGGAGGGGAATTGAAGGAACGTAATTATTATCCTAATCGAGTATCGCGCGCGACTATTGGGAGAATTTATACTTCCTCCGTCCGCTCGAGTCGAGTTTATAATGCCGTTTATCCGCGAAATGAAGTTACGACTCGATGATCGAAATAAATCCGATGAATTGGACCGAGGGGACGGGGAGGGGGAAAACGGAGTAACGGCATTAACGGGCGCAAATGGGACTGGATCAATTACCGCAATCTCGTAACTCTCGGCAATGGACGAGGAAAGTTTGTTGTTGTTTTCTAAGCTTCTCATTCGAATCGATGAAGACTGTCGAGTGACATTCCTGTTGCTCAAACTACTCCCCAACGTAAACTTTCGCGCAATGTGCTGCTCTCTATGTGACACTTTCGCGAGGAACTTAAAGTTTGACAACCAGAAGATATATCCTTGAGAAAGGTGAGAGGCGGCAGTGCTCTTAAGTGATTGCCCAGGAATGGTCCGCTCGTTTGTGAATGGAATGGTATCCAAACTTAGCCCCAGGAACTGGCACGGAACCTTATATTACTACGAGCGCAATTAGTCACTAAACTGTGTTAGCTCCCGCCGTCCGACTTTCTTCGGATTTCATTTCCCTGTCGTAGGGAGGAAATACTTCGACAATCTATCCTCTATCCTCTTACTCCGTTATTTCTCGCAAGCTCTAATCGCCAGTCTCCCTCTGAGTCAGAGATGATTCCTGATTGGTCAGCAGCTTGTCCGCCATTTTTAGGGCTGGAGTGAGCGGGAGTGAGAGAGAAACTACTAGAGAGAGAGGAAAGTAAGAGAGAAGCTCTGAGACTGAAATGACGAAGCACGCCGCGACTTATCTCTCACACTTACTCACTCACTTTCTCCCTACAAATGGCGGGCGATGTCCTAATTTTGTGACTTGAGGAGAGAGAGGGGGAACTCTACTAATCGCTGCACAATAAATTCAGGCTGTTCGAGGTATATTCCTTCAAAGTATGTCCCCGTTTGCGAGGGGAAGTATATTACACGCTCGAAATGACCGTCGATGAAACCTATTATATTAAAAGAGTTAAGTACCTACTATACCGATAATGGACAGAGGTGATGCGAGTTGAGGGGAATTCGGAAACGACCGCTAATCCGCTGGACTAACTGTCCTTCGTCATATAAGTGGGCAATGGTGGTGGCGAAACATGTTCCATCCATTTTCGTAGTTTTCAGCGGATCAGCTCGATCGGCGGGTCGCTCGAAATTTAGTTTCGCGAAATTTGGTGTTTGCTCTACAAACACGACGTTTGTAAAATGCCGTGACATTGGAAGTAGATAGATTGGATATTTAGTTTCGGGCTCACATGAAACGTAACTATAAATAGCGATTCCGCTTTATCAGTGGCCGGGACCTCCAGTAACGTGATAAACTACTCGTGTGCGGTATCCAATTCCCCGTTACAAGGCTTATATATTTGGGGCGAGGTCCGCGACATTGTCATATTATATAATATTGTTATATTATATAATATTAATGATGATGATAATAATAATAATAATCGTAATACTTTATTAGACGTCAAAGTTACAAATTAAAGGATATTGTGTAAGAAATATAAAATGATGTTGCATTAACCCAATATCTCTCCCTCTTTTTATTTGTATTTCTTGCCGTTCTCGTGAGATCGAAATGTGACGCGATGCAATGAGAGAATGGGTATCGCAACATTCAGCGCTATCACTTTGATGTTATAGCGTCAGCTTTTCCAGTGCATACGCATAAACCGTCGCGAAATCATCCCGGCAATAAATTCGATATCACCGTTTCCCGATGGGTCTCCGATTGGACCAAAAACATTTCGGTTCCACTTTGGCGAAACCATTTTTCGTTTAAATTCTCATCGGGATCCGTATATTTATGGACGACACGTCGATACAACCGGCACAAAACACACCAGATTTACGATTAAAGTCAGTCAGGAGTGGCTGACGCCGGCGAAATCGATCATTTTGTCACAACGCGCGCGCCGAAGGAAATTCGGGCGGAAGGAGAGCGCGGTTTTAATTTCGCGTAAATTCCGCCCGATAATCAGAATTTGCGACCGTCATCCGGCAAATTTCGGGGAAGCGGAGGGGCCAGTGGGATTGTGTTGAAAGGAAACGTAATCGAATCATATCGTTACTAGTGCACGTGCACGCATATTCCGCAATATGTAACAATCCCGCTTTTTTCCAATTCCGCTTTATACACGCGGCCTTGTTACAAATAACATCGAATGGAATTGATGGCAATGGTTGCAATACTATACTATGACATAACTGCGCGCAGTGCGCGCGTATTGTCGCGGAAACATTTTTATCGTAAAAACGTACATATTCTTTCTATGCGATCATGTCGCGATCGTGCTCGATGCCATAATCGAAATACGAAATTATAATCTCAAGCAAAAGCTGAATTTGCAGTTTCTGTAAATCGCGCGAAACCGAGTCGAAATTTTAGCTCCACTTCCGACTTGAACTTTCTAACAGTAAGATGTAGAATTAAAAATGTTACAGACTATGATGTTGCAGATAAAAAATCAAAGTATCCTTGAATTTATCTCAACGATTCCACCCAGAAAAAGGACTAACTGCATCGAATGATGTTACCTTTGCTTACCAAACGATTGATAGAAAACAAAAGTTTCATATTTTGTTTAGTTTTAGAAATAATAGTCTATAACGCCTTTAACTTTACACACTGTATTCTGAACGATTAGTGTGTTTAATATACTGTCCTACTTAGTGTCTCTAAATGGCAGAAAGTACACAAAATGCCACTTGCAGGTTCTGCAGGGAAGCTTTTGGCAAGGCGTAAGTATCTTAAGTAGAATCAAAAGATGTTGATGTAGTCTTCAAAGTAGGCGTTACATAGTATATTGAGATAGAAAGTAAGATGAAAATTTCAACCGGAAAATTATGAAAAGAAGTATCACATGGAAGAAAACAAGTCCGTTAGTGTAGTTGAATTTTCTGTTATCTGAAAACCAAATGAGAAATACAGTTGCAGAAACAGAAAGATTCCTGTAAAGTGTTTCTACTCAGCTTCCAGTTATCTTAACCGAGTTTTGGCTGAATGTTCAGACGAATGTTTTCAATCACAGTAAAAGAGATACTATTTCTCGTCGGCGAATTTTTCGTCTGCTTCCCATTCAGTTACACGAACAGAAATTTCTTTTTCCATGCACGAGTATCATTGTGAGAGAGAGAGAGAGAGAGAGAGAGAGAGAGAGAGAGAGAGAGCAAGAAAAATATGCTTATTACTACCATTATTTCTTACATTATTTTCTAACATTATTTGTTCCCTTTTACTTTCAGAAGTAAAAAAGAAGGTATAACGCGTATAATCGTCCAAAAAGTTCGTACTCACCTTGCCGAAATTCGAGAGACCACCGATTTGAGGCACTTGACCGGGTTCATCCGCCGTGCTGCAGTCTGCCCTAACGAACCAACAGGTCAGTAACTCAGTGGCGACAATCGTGAGCGTTATTGCGATAGAATCCCCTCTAATCACAGGTTTCCATGCCCGTAATGCTAACGATAACGGCAATAGTATTATTCACAGGGCGGTAGCTTGCGCCACAATAGATAGGTCGCAATCATATCGCAAACTGACTCGTTTCCATTCCGCATGATCTCGGGAATATTTTGGTGCGCGTCCTCGTTCAATCCGCACGGTGCCGTTCGTTAGTCACGGTGGCGCGCGAAATAAATTCCAAGTATCTCGATGCCAACGCGCCTTATTCTCGAGCTTTTTCTGACGTAGTTTCACTTAAAAGGAAACGACATTACAAAGAGAAAAAGCGGACGAGGTGGCCGCGCGCAGAGCGCGCGTCTGCCGACGTGATTGCGGACCGCAGAACAAAAGCGTTACGCGCTGCAGTCAACTCGATTTTTCTAAATAAATGTTCCTTTTTAAAGCCGATCGTTCAGTTTAGAGCTTCATACGAGAGTAATCACCTTACGCTTTTATTAGATGTAAGAATCGAGGTCAACTGCGCGTGTAACGCTCCTCAGAGGGCCTTGCAAATCTGTGCGTGGGCGCGATAAACAATTGAAGAAATTATTCTGTTAACCCGCAACTTTCTCCGCGCTCCATTTCCCCGGGGGTAATCGCATTTCCCCGCGGCCATTGCAAATTGACCGGATCGATAGTGCGTTTTCCGCGACGCGATGTATCGTTAATTGGATCCTGTTGCGCGACAAGTAAACGACATTCCGCGCGACGGCTTTCGTGCGTGCGAAGAGCGGAAGCGAGCAACCAATTTCTGTGTGTCAACGCTGGCGCGGCAGTCAGGGAGGAGGGGGGGAGGGAGAGGGAATAGGCCTCCCGCTAAAAAGAGTTTCCCTCCCGGGGAAAAGCCATTTTCTCCGAAGCTACATCCGACGTCTTTTCGGCGTAACACACGCGCGCGTATCGCGTAATAGCGCGCGTCCCGATTCTCACTCAGCCGCACGAGAGACGCGTCTAATCGCGATAGCGACACGGGGGCGCAAGGTGCGCGGCGAGGTGAGACGAGAGGTTAAATATCTCACGCGGATGGGATTATGCGAGACATACGACGAGCTTTAGGCGCTGGCTGGAGGACTCTCGAGGTAATGCCACGCTGACAATCGTGTGCATTAGTGCCGCGTCCTCTGAGCCGTTGAATAGAGCAATGATGCGGCGGCGACGGAGGCCGGCGGTAATGGTAGCGATAATCGATAACGTCGAGCCGTCACCGCGGCTGCTGTATCCTCGACTACGAGGATCGACAAAGTTTCAGCCGCATTTGGCGGATTTAAACGGACCACTGACACGCGCCATTAAATCACCGATCTCTCCGTCTCTCTCTCTTTCTCTCACGCGGCTTACGTCCGCGCGACCAAACGTGCTGTTTGCGTGCGCGAGGCACTCGCGATGCATCGGGCGTTTTCCACGATGGATCGAACTTGATCGCGCGGGGGTTTGCGAGACCTCGCGAATTTATGATCGCCGCTTAGAGCCGCGCCGCGCCGGCATTTTTGTTCGGCCGCGACGCGTCGTAATCGCCCTATCTGTTCCGCGAAACGCTGAGCGTCCCAGCGAACGCGTATAATATTGTTATACGGTGTGCATTAATCCGCGCGGCGGGATTTATCACGTTACACGCGACGATTTAATTGCCGCGGATAAGCAAGCCAGGCGATGCGTGAAATATGTCGGTCGCGCCGCGCGCGGGAATAAATCGCAACAGCCGCCGTAACGCGGCTCCGTGTCCCTATAACGCTTTTCTTTCTCTCTCTCACTCTCTCTCTTTTTTTTACAGCTACGCGGCTTTCTCTGGGCGCGTATTTACTCCTGAGCCACTATCCTCTCTTAGGCCGGGTTAAATACACTCGTAAATAAAACGGCTGATCGCCGTCTCGCGTGTTTCTCATTATATACGTCGCGCGATATTATGCCGGCGCGGGGTTGTTATTCGACCGAATGGCTTGGAACACTCTTTTTACTATCGGCCAGTGTCTTCGCGATCGCAGCGGCGTTTCGGCTGATTCCAACCTCTCGACTATTTCACGCTGAGGTGACGAGAGTTCGTTCGATCGAACTAAATCGGGGCCTGGGAATTGAATCTCGAAGTGGAGTTTCAGACCGCGCGTTGTTATCACGACAGAGAATTTCGGCATTATTATTGGGGTTACACTGAGAGAAATGGCTTGGTGAACGACACTATACTCGTCTTATGAAAGTAATATGGTGAATTTATATGCGACATGTGGTTCACATATTCAATATTCTGATTACGATGCCTCGACACATTTGGTAGTCAATACCGAGACATTTAGTTGTAGACATCTAGACAGTTTGGTAATTTTCTCTAGACGTGTGATACTATTGACGCGATAGTTAATTGTTACTCGCTGCGACGTTTCCTTTTTCATCTATATTAATTTGTAAAGACATCGCTGCTATAAAAGAGTAAACGCTGAAATCGTCAAATATTTGGAAGAATGAAATTTCTTAAAATATGTCGACGAATTTAGAAGTAAATGAAGATTATATATAGTAAGTATATAAAAATTATATATAATATGGTTAGATTTTAGGTTAGGTAAGAAGTCTAATGCTACCTCCACAACTGTATTCATAATATTCATCAAATGAATTGTACCAGACGGTTTGGTAAACGTATTTAAGCATTACTATAATGCTACTTAGACAATGCACTCACCAGATAGTTTGGTATCATTGACATATCTTGTTACACGATTATCTACCATACTGTTTGGTAAACCTAAATAGAATTCTGGTTAGTATCATCAGACATTTCTCTCAGTGCATTAATTGCCTAGGATTCCGCGCTGATTTCAATAAACATCTTCGCTCGGGAGATTTACGAGGTAGATCGGTGGGGCGGCGGAGGGTGAAAAAATGTAAATACGTCTTCGTCATGAGCAACGATCGATCTGCAATGGAGCGACGAGTCTTGACTGGGCGACGTCGTAAAACAGAGAGCGATACCATAAAAACGGAAGCGGAAGCCTGGGGATAGATAAATCAGCGTCTCGCTGGTGGGAAAGAACGGCGCGTACGATGCCCGTCGGAGTACGTCCGGAAAGTTTCTTATTGCGACCTTCTCGCGAGCGTCCGCGTCTCGTAAACGATCGTCGTCTACTCGCGAATTCGTCCGATGTACCGAAGTAATATTTCTACCGTGCGTCTGCTTCGCGCGGCACCAGCTGGAGCCGACGACCTGCAACCTCGCCGTAATCTGGCGCGCACCGCTCGCTCGATACTCCTCCCGGTTACGAGAAACAAAACAGCTCTCGAAGTTTTTCGGAAAAAAAAGAAGCCCCGCCATGGATTACTAGGTTACTCCCGTGAAAACGCGGATGATTGCAACACGGTAAAATTGAACGCGCTCACTTTAGTGGGAGCGAGAGAGAGAAAGAAAGGGAGAGAAAGAGACGGGTTTACCCTGAAAATGCCGAAAATAGTTTTCCTCTATGCGCTATAAAATTGTTTTTTTTACATATAGGCATACATAAAAAAAATCCATTTCATTTGTATATATATAGAAGCTTAAAAAAGCAGTATGATAAACAGTAAAATTGTCGATAAAGAATACCTCTTTGCAGAAAGCAAGGGTGTATTGCCCGTGTAGTCCTTGTAAAAAATAAATGCAAATTCGAAATATATATGCTAATGTTTCTATAAATTTTTCCGTATAAAATGCATAGCACATATATACGCGATACAATCTTTCTTTAACAGTAAATTTCTATTTTCTTTTAAATTTTTATATAATCATATAAATGAAAATATAAAATATAAAAATATGAAAATGTAAAATATAATATAAATATATATGAAAATATAAAATAAAGTCACTATCTTTATTTAAACAACACAGCTCTATAGTTTAGTTACTTTTTTATATTATTTCTGAGTTTTAAACTCTGTTATGAGTCTGAACCACAATGAAACTTTGAATTCTTAAAGTACACTCGTACAAGAAATATGAGAGATTTATCATTATTTTTTAATTATCTCTTCTTCTCTAAAGATAACGTCATATATATTTCCATATATGTTTCCATATATAGCGCGATTTAAAATAGCAGCAGGTTGTCGTCAAATGACATATTATTGACGTTCGAGACGTCACTACGTGTTTACCGGGCTTACACTTCAAAGTGGGACAACCATTGAGATTCAGGCTCTGAATTAATGTCGAATCGTTCGTAATCACTCATGTAGATGCAATACACAAATTAATCTCGAATTTCCCCGAAATCTTTTCGTCGGTGTTGAGACACGGGCAGCACAGTCTCAATTAAAACGCGACGTTTTGCGCGATTTTTCGCGAAGAGAGTAACGCCGTCGGGGTCAACACCCGCGATGAAACCGGCCGGTTGTGTCGTCGCTTTTTATCATGTATTAAAATGATCCGGATTATCGACGCGCGACGTATAAGCTCGGGCGCTGGAGCGCAACGGGAGCGCGTCGTCACGGTTACGTAAGCGACGCGCTCCCGCGATACACGTAGAATATTTGGAGCGCAAAGAGTTAATCCGCAGGGCTGGGAATAATTCCCCGTGTGTAACTCCGATGCCAGGACACGCGGGCGCGGCGCGATCGCCATTCCTTTCGGTTCGACTCTCCGGCTGGTAACCGGCGCGACTATCGTCCGAAGGGGGTGGGCCACGCATTTCGCGAATTACCCGGCCGCGCAAACGCTACCCCATCTTACGATCAGCGTGCTCGCGCGAACTATTACGGGGACTTTAATCCGTTTACGCGAAACGCTTCACCGTTCTGGCCGAGGCGATAGCTTTTAATGCCTGGGAAATGAACGAAACCGGACGGCACCGAATGACCAGCGCTGGCCGCTATTCCGCCATTTCGCCGCGGGCTACGCGAATGAAAAGTTCCGGCCGGCGCAGCCTGTAGTGCAGAGCGGTTCTTGCGGTACATTTTTCGCGGGGCCGGCTCATAAAATTCTACGCGTAATCGCCGTTCACGCGTCAACGCGCATCGGCTGATCCGTTTTTATTTCAGTTTTTGGTCGGGACGATGACCACGCGTGCGCGCAGCGTTGACCGGGGGGCTGCATTATCGCGATCGACGACTTTCTCCCGGCCGGATGTATCGCGGACGGTGACGTTAACGTTTTACAAAGCAACGTGGCGCACAGAAAGCTCCATCATCGTATACTGCACTATCAACCAAAGCGCGCGCGCAAATACCCGCATGTGACACGCACGCATAATAATCGAATAATAATAATAATAAAATATGCCCCGAATCGCGACAAAGCGATATCTGGACACTGAAAAGTCATCGAGCGGCAGCCTGCAATTTTTCATCCATAATCAGATCGCGTTCAGCGCTTTTAACGCGCTGATATGCGGAATAGATTTATTGCGGCGTGCGCGTTGTGCGCGCGGCGTATGCACTTTGCAGAACTCAACGCGATTAGAGCATTAAGCTCGTGTGTTCGAGGTGTACGGTGCACCTACCTATCTACGCTAACACACGTAGCGGCAACGGCGTTTAACGAAATTGCAGCGCGAGCTCTTTCTCCCGCGTACAAGTTGTGTTACATTGCGCAAACGGCTCGTAACGCGTTTTGTTTGCCAACTTTCTTTCTGCCTCTCTCTCTCTCTCTCTCTCTCTCTCTCTCTCTATCTATCTCTCTTCCCTGTCCCTTCTCTCTTTCTCTCTTATCGGTCTGGCCGCTGAGAAACGCGCTTCACTGACGTTCTTATTTCTGTCGGCACACTCACCAAGGCGTGTTGCACGTGTGCGTGAGGGTGAGATACCTGGCGCCCAGCTCGTACAGCATCCTCAGCACCGCCAGACTTGTCCCCACGGCATGGCCACCCTCGACCCCTATCAGGCTCGCTAATCTACCCTCCTTGTGCGCCCTCTCGATACCTGGAACCATACATTACAACTTACTTCGCGTACGCCGGCCCGCCTGCCTGTCGTATTTCACGTGACCTTTATAGTGCGAATCCGGATTTCGCTCGGACCGAGCTCCGTCGTCATTATACAGGCAGTTATAACGGATCCGAATCGCACACGTGGGCCACGTGCGTCCGATAAGTCGGATAAGTGGATATCTTAGACGTGTATAAATCAAAGAGCTACGCGTAAAGGAATAAGCTGATATCAGCCAAATCTCGATGGCCAAATTTCGATGGAATCTCTGATTCGAGCTTGATTAAAGGGCTATCGCTATTGTCATTGCTAAGAGTTGGCTATTACAGCTAAAATGTATTTGCTGTGAAATATAAATTTATTAACTGAGTATTTATTAATTGAGATTAAAAGCGCACATTTATTTGAATAGCTATAAAAGTGTCAGTTATCTCTAAATATTTTATGCATTCTCGGGTATCGTGAATCTCGGGCATTCTCTGTGAGAAAATAATTTTTAATAATTTTTAATTATTAATAATTAACAGAGCTCGTCCCACCGCGTAACGCACTTATTGATTGACCAGTCTTTTTCATTAACTATTGTAGCAGAGTCTATGCAAAATAATACAAAATATTTTTATTCAATTTAATAAGTTCTACTTGTACACCTAAACGAGCATCCAAATCCAAAGAACCTGAATAATTAATAGGTATGTAAAACAACAAGTTTTGTCTCTTCAAATCTTTGTTACATATTTCTTTCATTATCACATAGGAAATATATACAGAATGTGTACCAACGCTCGCGTGTGAGTAGAGCTCATGAAAGTGAACAGTCCTCTACTATTATTGTAAATAACCACAATATTTATTCTTATATATTGATCCACAGTAACAATATTAATCTCGTCATTGTTACAATAGACGAGACGTCGCGTGTGGCAAACGTGTGCCAGGGAAATTATTTCATGTCGCTACGTCGACCCATCCTTGAGTTATAGTAGTTTAAAGTCGTGGTGTCGATACTCGGTTCAGGCTCGAAATTCGCGTTCGTATGACGTTGATACTTATAGCGTGTTCGACTGGCTCTGGGTTAATCGCTCCGAGAGCGATTATTGACGTCATAAGTCTCTACTAGCCAATCATAAAGCTTATAAGTACTTGTTCGACCAAACGTAAGCTGAATAACCCAGAGTGGGTTAATTACCCAGAGCCAGTCGAAAATGCTAATACTCTCGCGTCGGCGCACTATGTTTCATGTTATGACTGGTGCGATCTGTTAAGCTAGCCACACACACTTTTCGTAACAGTAACCGTAAGACGTAACGTAAGAATTGACCAATTACGATCGAGTATTCACAAAAATGGCGACCTTACGATTCGACGATTCTCAACATGATTGGTCAATTCTTACGTTACGTCTTAAGGCCAAATCACACTAGCGATTGGCGATTGACGATTGACAATTAAAGATTAGATTTTAACGAATCAACAAGCTTCAGCCTTGGTTTGCTTTGTTCCAATTGGTCCAAGTTTCAATCTTCAATCGTCAATCATCTATCGCCAATCGTTAGTGTGATTGGCCTTTACGGTTACTGTTACGGAAAGTGTGTGTGGCTAGCTTTAGACGTCACAAACGTTTTGAAGCACTTAAAGAAAAGCCATGATCGGTCCATACGGCGTTTCAAAGCATATGTAGCGTCTAATATATCGCCCCTTTAAAGTGAGGTGAACGACCGCGTGGCCGCAGCGAGCAAATGGGCGGAACATTAAGCTTATCTGAGGCGCGGAGTGGGGGTAGCCGAGTGGTTATGCTGTCGCGTATAACTCAGAGTGACCGGCCGGTAGCAATAACATTCCTGCATTCCATTCACGCGTCGCGAAGTGACTCATCCACAGCTCGCCGCAGCGATAACGCCGAACGATCTAGAACGCGGATCGATAAAATCATTAATAACTCCACTCGTCGACGTCGTAGCAACTTGAAACAAAGATCATTGGAAAGGGAAAATTATCGCGCTTCCGATGGGTGTGAAATCGTCCTTCTGTGAAGTCAGGATCAAATAACGTTATCATGTAAGTACGAAAGACATCGATTAAAGACATTTGTTTGCGTTAAAGCGGACATTGAATTGGATTGCAAACTAACGGAAAATCTTGGTTTGGATTTGTAACCCAAAGCGTCAGTTTTGCGTCAGTTTTGCGTTTTTGATGAGTGTAAAGCGTAATTTAAAAGGGAAAATCAAAATTATACAGTAGAAACTTTTTCATCTAATAGGGCGAACATTTTCTGCTGTAGCATCGCAGTTCAAACAGCTAATATATTCAGTTTCAGCAGCAGCGACATTAGTCGACATTGGTTGCATTTCGTAATATGCATATGCATTTATCTATAGTTGATGTTACATATACTGTAGAAAATGTGCGTATATGCATATTACGGAACGCATATTTGTATCAGAATTTGTAATAACTCCCTTTATTTTTCTATCCTTTTCTCATTCTGTACGAATTTCTCTTGTTTCTCTTCATTAGGTTTTGAATAGGAAAAAAAGTGGTTGATCTGACTAATATTATATTTATTTTTCATTCCAAATATATATATTTTTGGTTACTAACACGAGAATGTTAATAATGGCATGCATATAAGATTATTATCAGTAATCTTGAAGTAACCTTGAACCTTGAAGTAAAATTTCATAGAAAAATGATCGTCTTGATTATAATTTATAGTAATTTTTTTTCTATGTGATCATACGGTTACAAATATCAAACAGGTTTCTCTCAATGTAACATAATTACGCTTTGCGTGATTTTTCCCGAGTGCACAAATTTATTTATCTATCTATCTGAAAACCGGCTTTAACGAGAAGCCGCCAAGTCTCGCGTGGGGCGCGAAGACGAGCTCTCGGTCAAACTCGCGTATATCGCCCGTTAGTTTTCCACGGCCGAATAATCTCGCTTTCGCAAGGCCGCGCACGTATCGCAGCGCGAGTGACGCGCATGAACAAGCGACTAGTAACGGCGGTGTCGCGAAGTTTCGGCGGCGCCAGCGATAAGTAACTCCGATGCTAAGTGGGCCCGAAAGTTGGCGAATTCTCGCTCTTTGCACGACGTGGAAAACCAGCGAGCTTCGCAGGCGAAACGCCGCGGACACGCTCCGGGATCGCCGGAGTGAAAATGCCGCGCGGAATATAACACTTGAGCACGATTTCCGATACTTTCCCGCCTGCATCCCTTTTATTTCGCGCGTGCCACGCGTGTAAACAATGCGAGTGCAAAATTCAATTACGCCACCGTGCCGTGCGACGCGACGCACGCGCCCGCGCTCGTGCGGATTATAATTAAGCGAGCTTATCCGATGTCTCCGATCTTTGGATTAATTAAACCCTTCAAATTGCCTATCGTTATCGAGGATGTCGGACCGCGCGACGGCCGTTAATTACAAAGTGTAAATAAAAGTTAATTAACTGCGCCGACCCGGTCTGGCCTGCGAGCGAGTCGATCGAAGAAAACGCCGGCCGGCGGCGGAGCCTCTTAATCAGCGGGCAATCAGGCATTTTGTCAGCGTTCCGCGAATTCGATTCGCGATGTTTAATCGCTTAATCGAATCCGACGGTGTCGGATCTGGTCGACGGTGTTGGTAAATCCAATTTCGCGGTCTGCGGATTGGATTCGAATACCTCGTTCGGGCTACCGTATGCCGGATGAAGTGTCTCGCAATGTCGTGCAATGTTGCGCATATTTACACCCGCATCACTACTTATGCGTGCTTAATCGGGCGAAAACGCATTTTTCCCGGGCGAATTCTCATCGACCGTCTCTGAGCATCCCTCGACATCTGCGGCACCGCATCGGTGAGCTCGATCGGAAAAGAAAAGAGGGAGAGATAGAGATAAGGGGAGAGGGAGAAGCTTCTCTTATTAAGCGCCCCGGGACAAAAGTCCTCCCAACAGAGGTACATACAATTAACCGAAGATAAATAACAGTTGATGCAGCTATGAGATTTACACAAAGAAGACCGGAGCTATGTAATCCTAGGGGTATATTGCTCATGTGCTTTTTTAGTATTTATCTTAAGAGTTTGTTTTAGTATTTATCTTAATAGTTTGTACAAAAACGCGAAATGGTCTCTTTAGAACATAAATACTTGTTCCTGAATTTCATTAAAGTTAGAGTAATATTACAGATTATTATATTATATTACAGATTATCAGAGTAATATAACAGTTAAGAAATAGAAGAAACTGATTTAGTAATAGCAAAGTAAATTTTCGAGCCTCTTAAAATTTTCTATTGATATTCTCCATGACTAAATAAAATTAAGCGATGTGTTGGAATAAAGTTTCTTGCAAATGTCTGATATACTGTTTCTGATAATAAATGTAATTTTTATTTATAAAATTATTGAAACCGAGCATATGGGCGGTCGAGATAATACTGGCCCATAATTAAAGGCCATCCGGCAGGAGAGTTGTGGAAATCTCTCGCAGAGACTATGGAATTAATCATAGTATACATTTTATATGAGTGTACTAATACAGAATATACTAATACAGAGTATATTAATCAGAATATATATTTTATATATGACCTTCTTTACTCTGCGATGCTGGGCAACTGAATCCGATACCAGAGCAAGATGGCCACGTTGCTGCATATGTTTATATTTTGATTATTAGAAAACAAAATATACGATTAGGGTCGAGGCGGGCGTTAATACATAGAAGGTTGCTTCTATGTTTACACAGTCAATCACAACGATTAGTTGTCTGAGAAGTTGTAACTTTGAAATTCTAAAATCTAGTCCCGGTCTCTCCTATAATAAGAGTAAAAAGTAATGATGATAACGAGATGTCGATAGTGATGTAGATAATAGAAGTAACAAACAAAGAGAGAGAGGGAATGAGGGAGGGAGAGAAGCGGAGAAAGAGGCGTAATTTATCATCCAATTACAAAGAATTCACGGTAGTCAAGCGGAAGTAATACACCTGATACGCCAACGACAGGTT